AATCTAACTACACTATATCCATTGACTCCCCCTTGTCCACATGCTTGTTGATCCCCTCAAAGCAGTCTAGTAAATTAGTGAGGTATTATTTCCCTTTACAAAAAAACCCAAACATCTTGACTCTTCCTCCACAAATTCTGTTCTTGTATATATGTCTGATAGTTCTGTTCTTTACTATAGTTTCAGTTAGTTTTCCGGAATTAAGTCAGGCTTACTGGCCTGTATTTGCAGGAGCACCTCTGGAGCTCTTTTTAAATTTTGGCATCACATTAGATCTCTTTCATTCATTTGCTACGGAAGCTGATTTAATAGTTTATAATAGTTCTGCCAGAAGTGGGCAATAATCTTTGACCAGAGGCCACTTCAGAAATGTTTGAAGTGGCCCTGGCCCACCCTGGAAGGGATGGGGCCTCAGATGGAAAGGGTGGGGCCAGGATACTTCCCTGCTTCCCCACCCTCAGACTCTGATTGTTCTAGGGGTGGGGGAGCGCATGAAGTCTTTGACCCCGCCACCCCCAGAGAGAACTGCTAGCTGTTTTGAACAGCTGGTGGTTCCCTCTAGGCATCCGTGCCTGTCAGTGGGAGGAGACTTTGCATGCTTCCCTAGCCCCCACTCAGGGCCTTTGGGAGGGAGAACACGCAAAGTGTCTCACTCCCTGCCTCTGCCCTGCAAGGGAATGTCGTGCTTAGAATCAACTGAGCAGCAGCTGGTGGCTGACTTTAAGTGCCCAGCCCCATGAAGGGTGGGAGGAGACTTCTCACGCTCCCCTCACCCCCAAGCACTGATTGGCTTGGGGGAAGGGGGAGAGCACAAAATCTCCTCCAACCCTGCAAGGGGTGCAGTGCAGGTCTTGGTGCCCTATTACTGTTTAATTTCTCAGTTTGTCCCTAAACCCTCTCTAATAACATCTCAATCTGAGGCAGTTCCTCAGATTTATCACCTAAAAAGAATGGCTCGGGTTGGGGAATCTGCCTCACTTCCTCAGCTGTGAAGATCAGTGCAAAGAATTCATTTAGTTTCTACTCAATGACCTTATCATTCTTAAGCATTTCGATCATCCAGTGGTACCATTGATTGTATAGCAGGCTTCCAATTTCTGATGTTCTTAAATTTCTATTACTTTTTGAGTCTTTGGCTAGTTGTTCTTCATATTCTTTTCTGACCTTCCTAATTATATTTTTATACGTCACTTGCCAGAATTCATGCTCTTTTCTATTTTCCTCACTAGGATTTTACTTCTACTTTCTAAATAATGCTTTTTGCATCTCACTGCTTCTTTTACTTTGTTGTTTAGCTGCTGTGGCACTTTTTTGATTCTCTATGTTTTTTGTTTATTTGTAGTATACATTTGAGTCTCTATTATGGTGTCCTTAAAAAGTTTCCATGCAGATTGCAGGAATTTCACTTTTGGCATTGTACCTTTTAATTTCTGTTTAACTAACCTCCTCATTTTTGTGTCGTTCCCCTTTCTGAAATTAAATGCTACAATGTTGTGCTGCTGTGGTGATTTTCTTGCCACAGGGATGTTACAATTGAATTATATTATGGTCACTATTACCCAGTGGTCCAGCTATAGTCACCTCTTGGACCAGACCTTGTGTCCTACTTAGGTCTAAATCAAGAACTCTTGCGGGTTCCAGATCCAGCTGCTCCAGGAGGAAGTCATTTAAGGTGTCAAGAAACTTCACCTCTGAATCCCATTCTGAAGTGACACGTGCAGAGTCATATGAGGATAGCTGAAATTCCCATTTATTATTGAGCTTTTTATTTTAATAGCCTCTGTAATCTCTGGGTATGTCTACACTACAGCGCTAATTCGAACTAACTTAGTTTGAATTAGTTAATTCGAACTAAGCTAATTCGAACTAATGGATCCAGACTAAAAAACTAGTTCGAATTAGAGTTTTGCTAATTCGAACTAGCATGTCCACATTAAGTGGACCCTGAACCGGGGTTAAGGATGGCCGGAAGCAGTGCTGGCAGGGCATCAGATGAGGACTTAGAGCGTGGAGCTGCTGCCTCAGGCTAACCGAGGGCTGTGCTTAAAGGGGCCCGACCCCCACCCCGGACAGACAGTTCTCAGGGGTTCCCCGCTTGCAAAGCAGTCCTGGCTTGGAGTGCCCTGAGTGTCCACACTGGGCACATCACAGCACTCGGCCATCAGACCAGCTGAACTTGCCACAGGCTGCCATCTGGGGAGAGGGAGCAATTGGGGGGCTGCAGGAGAGCTTCCACCCCCAGAAGCCCGCAGAGCCAGCCCAGTCCTCCCCATCGGGGGCTCGTACCCCATTCCTCCCTCACCTCCTTCCACTTACCCTTCCCTAGCCCCCCTTCCTGATGTACAAAATAAAGAAAACGTGTGGTCAAAAATAGAATCTCTCTTTATTGAACAAAACTCGGGGAGACGGGGAAAAGGAGGTGGGAGAGGGGAAGAGAGAGGGTGGGAGAGGGGAGGGCAACTAAAATGATCAGGGGTTTGGAACAGGTCCCATATGAAGAGAGGCTAAAGAGACTGGGACTTTTCAGTTTAGAAAAGAGGAGACTGAGGGGGGATAGGATAGAGGTCTATAAAAGCACGAGTGGGGTGGAGAGGGTGCATCAAGAAAAGTTCTTCATTAGTTCCCATAATAGAAGGACCAGAGGACACCAAAGGAAAGGAAAGGGTAGCAGGCTTCAAACTAGTAACAGAAAGTTGTTCTTCACAAAGCAAAGAGTTAACCTGTGGAACTCCTTGCTGCAGGAGGCTGTGAAGGCTAGAACTAGAACAGAGTTTAAAGAGAAGTGAGATAAAGTGATGGAGGTTGGGTCCATGGAGTGGTATTAGCCAGAGGGTAGGAGTGGTGTCCCTGCCCAAAGTTTGTGGAAGGCTGGAGAGGGATGGCACAAGACAAATGGCTTGGTCACTGTCTTCGGTCCATCCCCTCCAGGGGCTCTAGGGTTGGCCGCTGTTGGCAGACAGGCTACTGGGCTAGATGGACCTTTGGTCTGACCCAGGACGGCCATTGTAAGCTCAGGGCTCAGGGTCGGGGGTCTCAGTGGACCCCCTTGATTTTCATGCACACCGGCTCCTGGGTGGCCAGGCTGGCAGCTCTCCTGCCCTAGCCAGCCACTTTCCTGTGCCTAGTGCGGAGGTCGTGGACGAGGTCCATGATGTTCGCACTAGACCAGGTGGGTGCCCGCCTCTTGCGGTCCTGGGCAAGCTCCCGGGAGCCGCCAGCCTGGTCCCGGGAAGAGGGGGAGGGCTTGGGGGCATCGGGTTGGTGGCTCGAGCCGTGCCAGGTGCAGGGTCTGCTAGCTGGGTGCTGGCAGGCTTGCACCTGGCATGGGCACCGTAGCCAGCCCGTGCCCCTTTAAGGGGTCCGGGGCCGGGAGGGGGGCAATAGAGTTTCTCTGGTGTTGGCCAGAGTGGACACCAGGGAATGCTGGGGAGGGCTAGCCTCCCACTAGTTCGAATTAAAGGGCTACACACCCCTTAATTTGAACTAGTAAATTCAAACTAGGCTTAGTCGTCGTAGAATGTGGTTTACCCAGTTCGAACCAAGCGCTCCGCTAGTTCGAATTAAGTTCGAACTAGCGGAGCGGTAGTGTAGCGCCTATCAAAGTTAATTCGAACTAACGTCCGTTAGTTTGAATTAACTTTGTAGTGTAGACATACCCTCTGAGGGGTAGCCATGTTAGTCTGTAACTTTAGAAACAGCGAGTAGTCCTGTGGCACCATAGAGATTAAACAAAATATATATAGTATCATGAGCTCTCACGGGTGCTCATCTGATGAAGTAGGTTTTACTCATGAAAGCTCATGATAATTTATATTTGTTAGTCTCTAAGGTGCCACAGGACTATTCGTTGTCTCTAATCTCCCTGAGTATTTCACAGTCACTATCACCATCCTGGTCAGGTGGTTGATAATCTATCCCTACTGCTATATTCTTACTGTTAGTGCATGAAATTTCTATCTATGGAGATTCTGTGGTAGAGTTTAGTTCATTTAAGACTTTTATCATGTTTGATTCTATGCTTTCTTTCACAGAAAGTGGCTTTCTGCCACTCCCTGAGTCATGACTTTTCTGTCCTTGCCCAGGACATAGCTGCTATCTCTTACTGACGCACTGGCAACATAAGGACTGATTAGGGAACCCAGCTCAATGAAACGGGGCTTAATTAGAAAGACTGACCTCGGCTGTAGCAGTGAAGCAGGGAGAGTGCAACTTTAAATAGAGGGGGGGAACAACAGGGAAATGTATGTCTTGATTGCATGTTCTGGTCATACCCTCTGGAGCATCTGTCATTGACCACAGCCAGAAGATAGGAGTCTGGACTAGACAGACCATTGGTCTGACCCAGCATAGCTGCTCTTATGTACTTAACTCAAGAGAAAGGAGAACTGGAGAGAGGAACGTACCCCACTGAAAGTGCCTGAGGAAGTCAAACTGAATCAGTGACTAATAGCAGGGCAGAATCCAGTGAGAGGGACACTTGAGTTAGGGCCTGCAACAGGAGAAAGAGACCCACAGGGAGGAGAGTAGGTTCCTGTGAGGGAACTCTGGGATAGGACCTGCCAGGAACTGGATGATCCTTGCAATTACACTGCTAGAGCCCCTAGCAAAAAGAAGCTGAAAGGGTTGAATGCTGCTGGGGAAGAAGTGGTTCAAGAGAAACCGAAGGGGAGAAGGAAGCAAAAGATTTCACCAAACCTGAGGGATAGAAGAACTATTACTATTGTCTTTATTTGAACTTTAAATTGGACCTTTACTTATCCCAGAAGCAGAGTGAATCATTAGGCGATTTAGCCAGAGGGCCAAGTCACAGAAGACTTAAAGAGGGGATCAGGAGAAGGTACTGGCTGGAACTGTCCATTTTGGAGCTAAAGAAGTGGTCAGCACAGGATGTAAGCAGTGAGGGTGTCCAGGCATGAGGGAGTCACATTTATACATGTCCATAATTAAGACTTTTCCCCTGAGTAGATAAAGAAGGCAAATAAAGAAGGAGAGCTACATACCCTGGCACTTTGTCTGTTAGCTTTCTTCTCCTCATCAGGAAGTGGAGGCATCGGGTAAGGGTATTTTCTGCTGGAGGCAATAGATCCAGTGGAGGAAGATGGAGATTTTGCGGGAGACAGAGTCCTGAGATGGTGAAACACACAAAATAAATATGATGTCTTTGGGCACTGGCACTTCTACAGCTACCGCTGTACATATTCAGAATATAAATGCATACTTTATGAACTCAGTATTGGAAAGAAATTGATCAGTACTCTAAATATGAAATGATTATAAAGAAACATCACTCAGATGCTTACAGCTCTCATTAATACTGAAAGGAAATTTTAATGCTGCTTCTTAACTTTCATTAATGTAGTTTCTCACAATAATCCATTTTAAACTATATTACTTAGCATTTTATTATTATAAAGTTAAGAAATCAAGTCACCCATTGAATAAATAAAGGACACTGACCTTTAAGTATAAACAATGCTAGTATAATCATAACCAAATATTCCCCAATGAGTGAATAAATAGCAATAAATAGTGTTTTTAAAGTAGCTTTTACACATCAGGATGCTAAAATATGAACATAGCAGACAAACTACTATTTATAGATAAGGAATTAATTTACATAAAATGCATGCATTTGGAGGCCAATTCTTAGTTGTGAAGAAATAAAGGCAAATACAAAGTGCTAACAACAAATTATTAGACATGCAAGCATCATACAGTGCATATTGTTCCAGCCAAAGAAAGAGTCTGATGAGAATATACAAAAATGGACTGATTAGTGAACCTCAATCAGCATTTCTGTACAAGGCGAGCCAGAGTAAGCAGGAGCAAGTCGATGTTTGTGTCACATGAAAGGCATTCTTTTTATGTCAATAAGGTGACTTTATTGACTGGAATTTTATACATGGGAAAATTTGACAGTTCCCTTTTGAGATTTTGCACTTTTATCCAGTGAGAGGATCCTATGAGGCTCCATCTCTGGACAACAGAGAAGAAAGAAAAACCCTGGAAGTAGAAATCTGTAATTACTGTAGCTCAATTTGCAGACAGAAGGCCAGATTTTGGCAAAGTACTTCCCCTTACTGCCCTTTGCATGTGGCCCCGTCCCTCACACTTTCTAAGCACATTTACCTACACGCTGCAGTCTCTAGGACATGCTCGAGGAAAATGTTAGCACTCAGTTTGTCCATGCACATTTTCAACCGCTGCACATATAGCTAGAGTCTGCAGAGGTGAGACACATTAATATCACGGTCATCAGGAGCTCAAATCAAACAGGACTACTCATGATAGTCAAAGCTATGCCCAGTAGTCGGTTTTTGTAGGATTGAACCCTTACGTACTAGCTTACGCTCGGAAACAGGATAAGGGCGCTTTGTGTTTGGAATGGTTTGATGAAAACTTTGCTCTCTCTTATGTTTAATAACTCATTTAAATGTAAAGTATTTTAAAAAACTTTTTAGTCTAGTACATTGTTCTGATTGTGTTTGCATTCGCCTGTAACTGCACACTCTTATTTCTCATACAGACAATGGTTGATGGTAGTTATGAACAGTTAGGTGTCAATGGAAATTACATGGTAGCTTGTGATGGGTGTGAAATTAACGTGTCACCAGTGTATATGTACTGTACATCTAAAGTCCTGTACTATGATCTCTCAAATGCCATGCTATTTTATGAAAGAATATTATGACCACACAACTCTTTAAGGCATTAAGAAGTCAGTCTTCAGCAATTGCTTGTTGAGCACACAGTGAGGTAGATATTTTCAGGACACACAGGTATTTTCAGTATGACAAATTTGAGCCTCTACTGAAGTTTGAAATAAGGTAGTTTTCTATGAAACACTGCAAACCTAACTGACCACTAAATTGCCAATGCAAAATAACATTAGGTTGTTTTTAAAAATTAAAATTTTCCATTGATTAATACGAACTCATTTGCACCGACAAAGGTTTGTAATGATATTTCTCTCTATTCAAAGGAACAATGGGCTCTGTAGTCAAAAAGAAAATTAGGAGTCTAGTTTAAAAACCCTTCCCTTTCATTTTTTAAAACACAAAGTATAAAGTAGCTGGAGAGAATAACAGAGGGTATATCTACACTTGCACCCTAGTTCGAACTAAGGATGCAAATGTAGGCATTCGACATAATCAATGAAGCGGGGATTTAAATATCCCACGCTTCACTTGCATGATCTCGCCGGTGTAATGAGGAGTAACGGTAGTTCGAACCAAAGGGTTTGGTTCAAACTAACGCATCCCGGCGCGCACTTTCACTTCTGAAACAGGTGTTGATCGGAGTAACGCGCCAGTGAGATCATGCTAATGAAGCGTGGGATATTTAAATCCCCGCTTCATTGATTATTTTGAATGCCTACATTTGCATCCCTAGTTTGAACTAGGGTGCAAGTGTCGACATACTCAGAGTGTGTTTGCTTTGGACTCTCGAGTCTCTAATGAAGAATAAATTATTTATCTCAACATCATGGCCAGATTTTGGAATGGAGGGTACGTGGGTTGATGCACAGAGATCAGGGAAGACTACATCACTCATCCCAGCATCGGGTTATGCTCCTTCCTACTGCCTCTCTTGGTGATGCAAAGCACCCCAATGGAAGGACAGAGAGAAAGCAAGATAGTTATACAGAGACAGAAGAAAGCAGTGGTAGCACAAGAAATGCTAAAGCATGCACATTCTCTCTCTGCAGCAGCATCCACAAGGACGATTCTTAGTTCTCCTGATGGAAACTATAGCTCTGTACTATGGGCCAAGTCTAAATGGCCCAATTTGGCCCTGTGTTTGTTATTGGGAGGAGTGGGGGAATCAGAAATAGATATGATGTTTCAAGTTCCGCTCCCAAGCACATCAGTTCAGTCCTACTGAACTTAAAGGGTTTGCAAAGAGGAGCAGAATTTGGTGCAATGGGCTACATTCTCCACCGTTCTTATTATACCACAACTATCTTTCTTTAGGGCTCAATAATAACCACCTATCACAACATTTACAATGTTCATCTTCTTTTGATTTTCTATATTTGTCATTGTAGTTGGCTTTTTGTCTTAAAAACTTTGTAGAATGAGCACATGAAGAATTTTTTAATTATTTCAAAATTAGATGCCACATATTACCCAAGAAAAAAGTTTGCTTTGTCTGGGGAGGCATAGAAAACAATCTCCAGAGGAAATTCTTATGACTAAATCATTTCTCCATGTACGCAAAATGTTACATATTCAAAGTCGGACAGAAACTGGCACATCCACAAAACAAAAACCTCGCCTGTGCACGAGCTAATGTGTGTACACAATACTGCATATACAGCTACAGGATGTATATACAAATGCCAATCTCCACATGCAAACCTGGGGTGTTCTGAGGTGCATCAGTTGCATCTGGAAAGTGTAAATGCCCAGTTGGAGGTCTTCTACATTGAAAATGCAGTTGCACACTTAAATAGATAAACATGCCCTTCCCTCACAATCCCTGGCCACTTATTTCTGCTACTCATTTAGGCACTCAGTATTTTTTTAATTGTCCTGAGTATGTGCCACCTGTATAGAATGTGAAAACATATTGCAAGTACAGTTGTGCATGCAGTCAGTGCTCAATCACAGATTTTTGGCTCTAGCCTGCCCTTGTTTATGTGCTGTGCATCCCCGATTTATATGCAATTTAAATGAGAGAGCTATGTGAGAACTTTCTCATTTATAGGATAGAAGGAAGCCAGCAGCCAGCTGCAGGAACACTTGCAGGTAATACCCTTTATTAAATAGGTGTTTTCCATAAGAACTTTAAATCCCACAGAAAACCTTGCCACAGTGGGAACCGGGGCCTTCTCCATCCTGGAGCCACAATGTAGGGACTTATTACTGGAGAAGATGAGAGTGACTACAAATGGCTCGCTGCCTTCAGTACGCAGTGTCGAGCTTACTTGTACTTTCCAAAAACTGCAACTAAATGCAGCCGTGAAGAAGAAAGTGGGACCTGAACATAAAAGGAAAAGAACGAGAGAGAGAGAGAGAGAGAGAGAGAGGGAAAGGGGAGAATGAGGCGGGAAACAAAGAAAAACCCCTTCTTTTTTTAAAAGGAGAATCTAACCAGCTCAGATGAAACAGGAAGAAAATGAGCCCAGTGGCCTTGTGTGACTATGGCCTGCCAGAGAAGTGCTCACACACACAAGCAATGAAAGGTAGTATAGAAACCAGAAATTCACTGTCAAAGCTGGTGTTGCAAAACAGAATTAAAGTTGGTTTAAGTGGCTAGCTGAGGAGGAGCACAGAAGAAAGTGCAGAACAGGAAAAAGCAAACAAAAGCAGAATAATATGATAGAGGAGCAAAGGGCCTAATCTCTCTTCCCCCATCATCGCTCCTACAGCACCTCTCCATGCAAAACCTGCTATGGTTCTCCTCCTTCCAGAAAAGTGTCCTGGGTTTGCACCTTGAAAACCTTGTTTATATTTAAATATAATGTACAGAAACAAAATATTAACTGACTGCAAATATTTGCAGTAATTCATACTTAGGCAGCTGAGTGTTTCAAAGGGATCCTTTGCATCATTCACACATGAATTAATCTATGGGACTAGCATAATTAAAACTTTTGCTAGTTCACATTCTAATGATACCATCACAATTCCTGAGAGTCTGTCTTAACTCAGTGAGGCCTTCAAGGAGTTCTTGATCACTGTTCAAGAGATTACTTTCAGCAGAAATTGCAGCAGTAGGCAGATTGATGAAAACACAGTACATAGGTGTATGCTGGGATAAACAAGCAGCCACTGGCTCTGTTCATATTAAGATTTTTTTTTCTAGTAGCAATGACAGTGTCAGTTGATAATTTCTATAAGTCACTGGAGTTCCTACTCCTCAGCATGATTATTTGTTCTTATGTTAATTTCTTTGAGTGCTTCACTGCACAGCCATTTTTCAGTGGGCTGCCAAACAACGGTTAGCCACTCCTCCTCAGGGTAACAGAACCCTGTCCACCATGATCACACTTCTCTGCTCAGGGCCAGCCTTGGACTAGAAGAGAAGGCAAATGATTCTTTTGCCCTCTCTGGCTATGTCTACACTGGTGGGTTCTTGTGCAAGAATGGCTGTTCTTGCACAAGAACCTGCAGAGCATC